TTAAATACTGATAAATGAATATCAGATTAAATGACCAAAATTTAAAATTGGATAAATATTGCTACCTAGGGAAGTGGCTGTTTTCAGCAATTCGATATTAATTTTCACACTTATTGAGAAATTCTACACAAGCTTGTTCGTATTCCTCAGGATGAAGTCGATAATGCTGACAGTGAAGTGTATCGTCGAAAAATAGCTTAGAAATTTCTGCATTTCGTTCATGTTCATGTGTTATAAACTGCTCGATGCTTTCTGCCGAACAAATGGAATCCGTAGAGCTGTAGATATAAAGCTGATATTTTGGTAAGTCTTTCAGCGCCAACATCCGAAAATAAGAATAGTTCCGTTCATAAACATTTTTATCCCACTGAGATCGAAGCCAAATCATAGAACTATATATTGAAAAATAGCCAGCTAGCATCAGACGGTAAGTTTCACGTAAAGTCTTGCTGTGAGTAGACGGTGGCAGCAGAGCAAATGATATTGCTGCTGCTGCTTGCCATGGTGTCACGTATGCTGGAGAGCTAAAAATTGAAAATTTCATGATCAAAAACAGTAACATTTACATTAAATTTTCAGAGCATATAAAAATCATTTATTATTGAGAAATTTACATATGTTCTTAGTAACAACATATGGAAGTAACTAACAGGACTCCGCAAAAGCAGAGTCTTTATCGCTTCGCAAAATTTCCTTAAGTAGCACCAATTCTTCGACTTTTAGCATGCCATTAACGCTTCCTAACGTTAGCACGATGGCTTAATTTGACAAAAGTACTAAGTCTTCAATTCTCTAAACTGGTTCTAATGACAACTGGTGGACAGTCACAATTTACTAACTCGTTATCCAAACGAAAAATAGCGAAGTATAAATACGTAATTTTCCTCTGTTTAGCACCATACTGTAGTTAAAATACGGTAAATTTCCTTTTTTCAGATCATAAATGCCTTGAAATACGACTGGGATGATTATCCAATATACCTGTCAAAAATCAAGCCTTTAAATTTCGATTTCAATGATTCGCAATCCGCAACTGTGTCCAGCAGATCCCACAAAGCACAAAATGTTGAACAACCATTCATGCTAAACATGTGACAATATATGGATAGTGATGTTGTTGTTTCGAGAATCTTTTCATAAATATCCAATGCGAATTTCCGATAACATGAGAAAGAACGAATTTTCTGGATATCAGCCGTAAAACGTAAGACCGAACAACTGGAATTAGCATTAGGATTAGAATGTGGGAGAAGTGTACGCTGGAAAAGAAAAATTGATAAGGAAATTAAGTAATTCAACTTAATTGTTGGGCGTGATAAGTATCAATGAATGAGCGGAACTCTATAGGCATCACGTGACTCAGCTATATATTTTGCACATTAATGTCTATTCAAAATCTTCATTTCCAAGAACCTTCTTTAGTCATAACATGGATAAAAAATAGCTCCCTCATTACTTTAGAAACTAGCATATTTAAATCTCAAGTTTTGATCACATATGAGGTGTTGAGATCTTACAAAATTCCAATAATTATTTGTCCATACAAAAACAATTCAGACTCTTGTGAGCGCGTTTTTTTCATCAATATAAAATTTGATAATATTACTTTTTCTCATAAAATTTGGAATATTTTGTTAAATATCGATCGTTGCAACCAGCCCATCCAAAGAGTAACACAAGGGCTGCATTTGGATTGCTATGTTTCATTAGCCGCATTTCTCCATCAAAAATAACTTCGGGGTTATCTTCGACACTCATTAATTTTTGTACGGTTCGACTATACGTCTTAAAAACATGTATGCTTCAAAAATGAGTTAATTCAACATTACAAATTGGAGAACACAACTCGTTAAGAAAAAAAGTAAACAGCCAAATTAATCAAATCATCAACCAGTCTACCAATAAAGCTGAATTTAGTGAGTGAAAAAGTAATGCAACCAAATTGGACATTTAAGGAATATAGAAATAAAAACAACGGATCGAGACACTATGAAAGAGAGAGAGTTTGAGCTTTAATGTCAGAAAAAAAGAATACAAAAAAGAGTAATCCAGTAAATTACTATTTCACAAAAGGACTGTTATAAAAACCAATTCTGAGAGAAATATCAAAACTAGCAATGAAATTACAGATAAAATGGTTTCTTACCACCAACTTATCATAACTTACCCTGTTCTTGAACTGCAACTAACTGGCATTTTATCTTTAAACTACAGTTGTTTGCTGATAACAGATACATGTAACATCAACCCAAAATAAATGAATAATATTTAAACGCAGGCATGCAAATAAAGCACTCCTTACACGTAAGTGCAATGCATGTATACCACATGCAATCTGATAGAATTTGACGCAATGACAATGCGCCTCGTTCATAATTCCATCAAAGAGAAGAAATAGCGCTGCAATTTTGGAATATCTGCATTTGCATCACTTCATATCTCACATCAGTTGTACGACTGTACATTCCACAAGTACTTCAGTTAACTTTAACCTATTGTTATGCGCAAATTATTAAAAAAGATACAAGTTAACGTGACACGAAACGTGAACAAGAAATGATACCGTAAACAAGAAATGTAACGTGAAACGTGAACAAGAAATGACACTACAACGTTGTAGATCAGACGTACCAAGTTGAAACATTTCCAATTAATACTCCACGTCCAATTACGGAAACATGGGGGAAGGAGTTTATTCGACAGTAATTGTCAGCTGCAAAATGTAATAACATAACTGGATTTGTTAATAACATAACTGAAAAAGTAATTGTCAGCTGCAAAAAATGTAATAACATAACTGAAGTCAATTTGGAAATGTCTTCCGCCATTTTATCAACGGAAAACCCACTTCACCTTCAAATAACAGTTCTTCGGGACTTAATTTGTTCTCCACTTTCATAAAGTCAGAAACCCTCCTTCCCTCAGGCCAAACAAGAGAGAGAACAGAGCGTACAATTTAAGTCTTGAATCAATTAATCGCTCGTTCACTCACCACAGTCATGGCTCTCTGTGAAAATAATACATCTCATATCAGTTTATTTGTACACTTCATTGCTTCTTCATTTCTTTGATTTCAGAAAAAACTTTGCAGGGAAGTTGAAAGCATAAATTAGTCTGTGAACTCATTAATTCTTATTTCAAATTTCGCAAGAGAAATTTCAAGTTTTTTTGTTGCTAAAAAGTGACCGTTATGATGTTATTATTTGATATCACATTTGGAAATCTCTGAGGTTTTGCTCAGATAAAAATAATCTAAGAATCATTTCGAGGAATATAGATTGAGAAAAAAAGATTGGTACTGTACTAAAAATTGGCCAAATTTCATCTCCAAGAAAATTTCCTGAATCGCATGAATTTTAATTTGTGCTCTTTGCAGCAAAATTAAGAAATTTATATATTCTCTTCAGGTGCATTTCCCTTGTCTTCCCTGTCGAAATTTCCTCGAAAAATAAAAATTTTAAAATATTAACATGTCGAATATCATGTAATATTTGAAATTGTTCATAAATGTTTGAAAATTTGTGTGCCCAATATAATGACTTTCAATTCACTTTTTTCCCTGAAGTTAAAATCGTATCTAGAAATTTCAGTTTTCTTAAAAGTCTGATATGATATATCGTTCTATGAACAGAAGAATATCGTATGATGACAACTTAAAATGAATTAAGCTCTGAAGAAGGAAGTACTTTACTTCTTTAGATCTTAATTATGAAACGTCATTTACATATTTCATTCATATAGCTATTGCTGATGGCAAAACAGACGATCAATGTTTCACCAGTACAGTAATATATTATATCTATTTAAAGGTATGTTAAATCGCTGGTATCAAAAGTTTGCAGTTGGTATGCTAAGTAATAAATTCTGTTGTAAGGATTTTAGTAAACAGCAAGTTTAAATGAACAATGAATTCAAAAACGTCTTATGGAATCTTAATTTTTATTCTTAGTTTATTTATAAATCATTTTCATCGACTTGGAAAGTGATTGATTTTGATGGTAACTGGATTTTGGTGGATTTTGTTTGGTAGAAGTGGAGCATCAATGATTTTACTTTTTCTTCAGTGAGATGGAAGTTTTGTGAATTTTTCGGTTTTTTCTCTTCAGCAGTATTCAATTAGAAATGCTACTCAATAATTCTACTCGCTTCGAGAACGAAATTTCCTTAACTGTGCTTTTATCTGACAACTAAATAATAAACTTTCCTGAAAGGATACAAATAAAGAAATTTCTGCTCTTTGAAATAATCCATGAATATCATTTTAGCGCACGTAGTCTTTTTCTTGTGTCCAAAACAAATGAATTAAGCAATGCCAAATCGGCAAAGAAACACCACAAAGCATTGGGATTTCTCTTGATTTACATGAAATTTTTATTTCAAATATGTAAATGCCCTTTGTTTTTACTTTTCTGTCATTTATATGTAAAAAATTTTACGAAAATCCAATTTAGGATATTACACTGTTTAACATATTAATTTAATCCAACTTGATTTAGAAATTTGAAGTTTAAAGCGAATAAAATTACAGTGAGATCAATTACAGGGACTAGGATAAATTTACAAAAATTAAGAATCTACTGATTACCTACAAAAACGAAAAAAAACTATGAATCATTATTTTTGCACCCAAAATTTCTGTTGCATGAAAGCTAAATTCGAGACTCTAGAAAATTGCTTAAAAATTGAAATTTTTTTAGTTCATAATATCTTTTTTTGAAGTGCAAAATGTGTAATACAATTAAGCCGACATTTACATCATATCAATATTTAAAAAAGGAAAATACGCATTTGTAAAGAATGAGAGGAAAGAAAAAATTGTAAAAATTCACATATCAAATATGTAGATGTGAAAACTTTATAAAAAACTTCTTCAGCTGAATATAAAAATGAGATAATTGAAATCAGAATTCAAGGGAAAATTATCTTTCTTAATCTTGATTTACGATTAATTAATCGACAGTAATTCTTATCATTTAACTATCATATTACATCAGTCGGTGCTATATACATTTCGGGTAATTGGATGACGCATAGAGTGGAAAATTGCGAGCTTGCAGAGCACCATTACCAGAACTACCAAAACTAGCATAGCCAACTGGTGGATTGAACAAAGCTCCAGCTGCTGCAGATGCCTGAAATGCTTGGATTTTCAAAATCTCAAGACTTTTAAAATATTAACAATATTTTAAATATATTTCATCCAAAAGTTTGATAAACATGGAAATGAATAAAAGAATGATTGCAAATGAGCAGGGAATACGATCAGACTATAAGATACTATATTCCATACAGTACTGCATAAGATACAGTATCTTATAATTATATAGCAGGATATATAGAGATAAATTAATGGTACTTTTTCCTTCTTTTCAACGATCGTTCGGAATGCAATTTAAAATGAACCTGAAATTGAGGTGTCATAAGTGTGCGATAATTTGCAGTAGCCCATGGTGCATGGATGAACTCTGAAGAATGTAACCGTGATTGTTGAAATAGATCTGATGAAGCAGTATTTGTTTGTGGTTGCAGAGCTTGTGCTATTCCTAAAATTTTATTGTATTTTATTTTAATCAAAAGCAAAAAAGTTCACAAAATTGTTTTGTAAAGTTTTTTTCTTTTCTTTTTTGAAGAACAAGGCATTGGATTTTGATGATGGTGTTAAATGATGGTGATAATATTTGGTTTACGTGGTAAAGAAATTAAATGATAAGAAAACTTCTCATTTGCTTAAAATATCTTCTCTTCAATACTTTGTTTTTTTTTTGAGGATTTAAGAAAATTGATGACAGTAATTATAATTATTAAATTAAAGCGTCACTTTTTTCTTCAAACCTTGAAAATCGAATTTGTAGGCATATCGTTTCCCATGCACTTTACACATAATATTTTTGTCATAATAGTATCTTAGCGCTCGGCTCATTTTGTCATAATTCATATTCGGTTTACTTTTTCGTTCGCCCCAACGACGAGCCACATCGTCTGGATCAACTAACTTGAATTCACCATTTGTACCCTCCCAAGTGATCGATTCCGCATAACGACTATCTGACAGTAACTCGAGGAGGAACTGCCAAAGTTGAATTTGTCCGCTACCTGATTTTTATTTTTATAAACGTTTAAATTGAGATTTTTTGCAATTCTATTACCAGATAGCCATTATATTACATTCGTTACATGGACTATGACATTTTTATTTCGTGAGATATTATACGAAATATAACAAAAATTTATGGTTAGTTTCGAGGCAAAATATTATTATAGTTAAAATTACCTGCGCTTGCCAGTCGACTGCTTGTTGGCCCTAAGATTTGATACGGATCTGAAAATTTTATTAAATTTAGCTAAAATATTATTTTTGTGTTGTTACATATTTTAAACCAAATGTATATATTTTTATATGAATTTACCACATTTAATATAATTAATATAATAGAAGAGAGATGAAACAATTAATCAATTCCTATGAGTTCATCGTGGAAAGATATCAGAAAATTCTTATTTACCACTGATTATGTTCACATACATTAACATAAGTGCTGTACTTTGCTTTAATGATTACAAAATATGCCTATGAAATGGAAGAAAAATATTTTGTTTATAGCCGAGAATGATCCCTCGATAATTTCGAGAAACTACAGGAAATTAATGTGTTAAAATGTTCCCGTTGTTGATCATTTCTTTTTCATCTTATTGTGGCATTTTCAATCGCTTATTTGGATGATTGAATTTTGTTTTGATTGATTCATTCTTCGTATATAATTCATTTAAATGAAGTCTGATTTTCATTTTGAAATCTTTCAAGTTCTGTGAAATAAGTTTTGGCATTAAAGAGGTGCAAAAGGAAGAAGAAGCATGAGGAATAAGGCCTCTGATTAGGCTTATTGAATTTAAGACTAGCAGGCTCCTAAATGAGTACGCAGTGAAAACATTGAAGTTGGGGATGAGTTTGATGGAATTAAAGGGAAGAAAGACAGAGAATAGTTAGACTATTTTCTTTACTCTTACATAATTGAGCTAAGATAGCCAAAGCAGAAAGTCATTTTGCTTTTTGAGAAATTTACTCTTAATTAGCTTAGTAATACATACCAACTACTATAGAAGAGAGTAAAGCTTACGGTAGTTGAAAAGAAGGATACAATTAGTATTTCTGTGATAAACCAGTCTTGACCTTAATTCAACTTTTACAAATTTGCAAACAATCAAAAATTCATTTCAAGCTTTGTTTACTTCTTGTTCATTATCTGAATTTATTTCGTTTATATTTATTCATCTATATTAACTTAAATGATGGATCGCATGCCTATTTTTATAATCTCACAGAGAAGCAGAACTGAAAAATGTACCTTTCTTCAAGTTTTTGTTGTAGAGTTAACTTAAGGTCATCGAATACTCTAAGAAAATCATCCGACATCACAATTAAAGAATAAATATGTTAATGATAATTCTATATAAATTAAACAGTTTCATTATGCCTTAATAAATCATTTTCAAAACTTTAAAGGCAAAAAAACAAAAAAAGGAACAAATATAATATTTTGATAATCAGAGAGTTATTTAATTTTGACAAATAAAAATTATACAAATTTGCCCTGTTTTATTGTACTATCAATTATATCTTGAATGGGGAGTAATTAGTGTTCGATTTTACGGGAGAGGTTAAGGCCAGGGTTACATGATGGACGTTTTAGTGAAATTGTGGTACGGGTACTGGTCGTGCTCATTATGTTTTTGTTGGATTGCTGCAGCTGCCATTCTTTGATTTCACTTATTTATCCACCTTTCCTTGTCTATTCATTTTCTATGCTTTATATTTGAAGGAGAAGGTAAAAGCTTTTCTATAAAATAAAAGCCAATTTTACTGATCCATGATGACCTTTCTGATTTCCTCCATAATAGAGCTTAAATATATGTATATATGATGATATTTGAAACAAAATTTTATAAACTTGAATATATTATACATTTATTACAAGAATAAAATAGTATTTCAATTCGTTCTATTGAAATAGAATTGCAGTTGCAGCACTATTTTATACTGGAACAAGGATACGAATAAATTAATTAAGCCAGATAGGTTTAAAAAACTCTCTCATTTTGTCTCTTTTTTAGGACTAATGAGCAACGATTGGAAGTGTGTTAATTAGTGACTTAAAATTACTCATGTTTGGTGCATAATGTTGACTCGCTAAATTCGGTTTCCGTACAATAAAATTTACACAAACTGCGCCAATTTGCATATGACGCCTTCCCTCTTCCAATTATTTGTTGAGATATAAATATTCTAAGGAAGGAGCGCTTAAGTAAAAGGTTAGAAGTCAGAGATGTGAGGAAAGTAAATGCATAAAACAAAAGGTACACCTCAAAATTTAACAATTGCTTCAAGTACATTTCATAACTTTTGCCAATTTGTATAAACAGCCAAAGTTAAATCAATTCAATTATACATAGTTTTATTACTCACTTGAAATTCACTCCAGTTAAAGGACATGGAGATATTAAGTGAAATGACAACTTGTCATCACATTGCAATTATTGCATATCGATTACAGTAATTTGCATAATATACTTATGAACCTATTATCTCATTACGCATTCTTTTTGAAGGTATGATAGGGAAGAAATGAGGGAAGAGAGAGGAAGAGGACAGGGATAGAGTAGGTATTATAGGCCCCTTTTGATAGTATCAGGATAAAATCCTTAGGCTTGAAACCGATCGGCTTCCTTTGTTGGACTCCGGATAATAGCCCTCTCATTTTAGCTCACATCTAAGCTACACAACGATAATAACCTCTCCAAGCATATTTCCCAATGTGCCAATATTTACCGCAAAATAATAGCTCCTTTTAAGAAATTCCCATTATCGGTTTCCCTTTTTTCTTCTTATTGGGAGCTAATAACAATCACTGTTATGAAAAATGAGTAATTGAGTATATGAATTAAATTATATTTGAATACAAGAACATCGTTCCCATTAAGCGAAATGGTAAGTGCATTTCAAATTGCTGATAGTTAGTTTAAATATTTTGTTGAATAAATTTTTTGCAACTTTTAGACCATTTCTAAAAATAAACCAGGTGATTTTAGAAAGTGCTGGTAATTGTGATGAAATATACCATTTTCTTCTCAATTTTTGGAACGGAAAAATTGCTGGAAAATTTTTTAATTTAATATAACATTTGGAAATGTAAATATTCGGTAAATATGGGTTTCTATAGACTACTGAAATGATTCTCGAGCTTCAAATTATTGTTGATAATTAAAAATGAGACGACAAAAATGAAAAGAATGCGAAGATATTTCTGGGTGATTAATAAAAAAAATAGATCAAATACCAGGTGAGTGCAACATGAACAACATGAAAGTTGAAAAATGATAAGTAAAATGAACAGCATAAAACGATTGCTACTAACTGTCGGAAAATGCAATTTTGAATTAATGAATTACAATTTTTTTGTGAAAAGTCAATTTTAATAAAAGGGTGCACAAACCAGGCTGCCCGAATGCTGTCGTATGACATGTCGGCAGTCTCAAGGATGAGCAGCTGAAGCATGATGAGTTTAACGTCGCCGGCTAAAATTTTACGCAGCTTTGAAAACGAAATTATATTTCAATTAATTAAATTTTATTTTTTCAGGTAAATATGCTTTACTAATTTTTTTACTACTGATTTTTTTGATATTTTACGAAGTTAAAATATTAGCGTTAAATGCTTTAAGCTCATCCACTAATTAATATCTTGGCATACCTTTACCTCCTCTTTGACAGTTGTTGTGGTCGTCGATGAATGACTCGGTGTTGCAGTATGAAATACGTTTGCATTCAAATTCATCCCTGTAAATAAGGTAAAGGTAAAACAATAAGTAAAGTTCTCGGAAGAAAAATAAATGAGCAACATAATATGCAAGTTTATATATAAATTAAAATATAATCAGTAATTAAAATCAAAATTTTAAATAGTTATTTTGAATGCAAAATAAGCGATCAAAATATGGCAAACATTTCAAAAAGATTCAATAAAATCTGAATCTTTTATTTGGTACATTAAACATTTTAAGTTAATCGTCCATAACACATATGAATTTAGTTATTTATTTTCTAAGCTTTAAAATAAGGCCGGAGAACAAATAAGTAAAAAATGCAGATGGATAAGGCTTTCTATTTGATAGCATTGAATAGGTTAAAGAAAAATTGGCAAAATGAAATTTCTTCGATGTTTATTTGCTCCTTTTACAAGTTTAACTTGCATTAATATTTTCATCCAAAGAAGGAAATCAATTTATTACTTGGTCAAAAACTGACTTTCAATTTTATTTAACTCCTTTCAAATGCTTCAACCTTAATATTCTATGATGGAAATGCAATAAATTTCGGAGTAAAAGTGAAAAATAAATCTGTTAAATTTGAAAAATGCCACTGTCCCATTTAAATTAACTTTTATTTTTTTCAATTCCATAACTTTCTGCAGTGAAACTATTTTTGTTACTGTTTTTATTTTTCAAATAAATAGTGCCATCAGAAATATTTTTTTAAGAAATTTAAAATTCGATTGTGCACATTAATCTAGAAATTCAGGATACATATTTGGCCAATTTTCGAAGCCTTATGTTCTCTTAGTTGGTTTTTTTTTAGTTTGTCAGCCAGAAAAGAAAACTTAAATTATAGCAGTTTAAATACTATCAAAAAACAAACAAAAATCCAGCGGATTTTAAGGAAAAACTGAAACGATTAAAAATCTTTTACATCTATGTAAAAGTCAAATTAAATTTAGTGAAATTTGCTGCGGAAACCGCTTACTGGATCGAAAATTTGTCAAGTTGTCAGTAATTTTCGAAATTTTCTCCCAACAAATCACCTGCTCTCTTGAGCGAATACTAACTTATGAGTATTTAATTTGTCAAGAAGCTGTCATTTGCTTAATAACTGAGGTTTATTTCTTTGTGGATGATTTTCACTCAAATAACTTTTTGAATGTTATATAAAGGTAACTTCGTTTTTAATTATTCTCAGATGGGAAAAAATAATGAGATGGACTGCACAATCGGAATATTTTAATTTATTTATATTATGAAAGGATTAGAAGAATTAAAAAGCATTCTCAGGAAGGAAAAAGCAACTTCAATTAAAATTCATATCGATAATAATGCTCATTTTTCAAAATTATTAATTTCTAGAAAGTCACTGCATTGAGCAAATAATGTTTAATACAGCAAATTAATTTGAAAAGCTTTCATCGAGATGATATCTCAAGTGCACTTCACACTACCTAATCAAGTCTTCTGGAGGTTACGCAAGAAGAAATGCCGAGTTCATATTACTGTAATATCTACAGTAACATAACAATTAATTTCTCAATTATAAATTATAATGCATACTAGCAAGTATGGAAGCTTAGAAATATCATTAAAATAAATGAATAAATTTAAAATTTAAGTAAAAATAATTCAGTGCTTAAGCAAAGCCAAACGTGGTTAATTAATGAATTCCCGAGCATGAAAAATTACCGGTTTGATGAGCGATTTGCTGTTTATGCATTTGTATCGAATTATTGCTCGTATCATAAAAAATGTTCCTTTGGGAAATGGGAACCATATTTGTTGTACTGTTAACGTTTGCATTGGTTGCTGATAACTGAAAAGATAATTTAATTAATGTTTCACATTAATTAAGGGGTGCTACCGTACTGTGGCGCATAATTGCTAAGCTATGAATGAACTTTTTATTTCTTTCTAGCTTATCAAAATTGTAAGAATTTTTCGATTTCAAATTTGGCTTTCCAGTTTTGTTCTGTAAAATACAAGAAGCATTAAATTCAATTATTGCGGCAGGTAGACAAAATATGATTTCGTTTCGAGAAGATAATATAAAGATTTGTTGTTTTAAAAGTGAAATTGACAACCCTATCAGTAACAGTATTATCAATTTGAAATTTTTCCAAATTGATAGATATATTGGGATTTTAATTAACAATACAGCGAGATGCAGTAATCGAACAAAAATCATATAGTCCAAGTCTTAATAGGAACGAATCATAAAATGTAACGTTTAATGACAACTAAAATGGCTCTTGAACTTCTGGAATTGCTTTTACTCTAATAGCATATTGATTTGATGAATTCCAAGTCATGAAAACCAAATTGGGAAAGCGAAATTGTGGTAAGAATCGAAAAATTTCTAGCTGTTTATTATAAGCAATTGAATTTAAGGATTATGAAAATGAATTTTTTCACTAGTTTAAATTTAAATCTCAATTTTTTTCATTTATCATAAGCAAAATTTTTAGAATATAATTCCAAAAAGAGTATAATAAAAAATTGATAAGAATTGATGAAATAGAGAATTTTCAATTTTCACAATGTTTCAAATGAATATCTAAAAAATGACATGAATCAGTAAAATAAAATTAAAATCGATGAAGCACGCCATAATGCAATTTAAATTAAAAGGTATGGAAGGTGAAATCTGTGCAATATTGCGATATGAGACAGCGTTGACAATAGCAGCGTAGAATATTCAGCGAAATTAGAAAAAAATAACAAAAGATTTCTTTAAAATTGCATACGATAAATAATCATTTAAAAATTAGAAAATAAAAAGTGAAAAAGAAAAAAAATAGGAAAGATAGGATGCAAACTTTCGAATAATTTATTTTAGTACCTGAAAAGCGCCAAAATTGAAATTGGCTAAAGCAATGTTTGGTTGTGGATCCTTATTTGTTGATGAGCTTGTACTAGCAGCCGATCCAGGTACAGCTGATGCTGCTGCTTGCAATGGTGGCGGTGGTGGCGCAGAATTAGGATTAGTTGGTTGCTGTCGAACATCCGATTTTGAATCCATTTGCAGTCAGTTTCCTTCCCGTACTGCGGCGACAACGTCCGGCATCTCTTTCCCCTCTGATTTCCTTCTTTTTCTTGGATCAGAAGTCTTGGAAACTATTATAATCGGCCAACTCATCTTCTGAGGAGGACGCACCATATCCACGGAAATAGGCGGAGTTGGAAAGCATACTGAACTATTGATGTTATTAGTCTGGCGTTGGAAATGCCACACCTTAGCCAATCACAAGATTAGCATAAATGGGTGGGCCAATAGAAAATGAACGGTAATTGGGGCCTTCGTTTCGCATAGTATTGAGAGTATTGAAGTTGCCTAAGTGTAAGGCTGACCTCTAACTCTCTCTTATTGCCCTAGACAGGCCATCAATGTTGTTGTTTTATTTGAGAATAAAATACATTGAATTGCATTTATTTCACAATCTGTATCGATAGAGAGGAAAAAGTACTTTTTGCTCGTCCTACTACAAAAACCTATTCGATTCATAATATAACTTTAAATATATTTTGGGCCTAAATTGCATTCTAATTTTCTGTTATATTATTATGTTATGTTTAGTGTTACCTTATAATTATTTCAAATATTTATTTTTCAATAGTTCTTCATGAAGTATCACTCTCCTATCTTTCATTTGCCGCAGTTTTCATATAAAGTTATGCGATGAGGCTAACGAATCGATGCAAGATTGTTGCGACAATAATAAGTTTTTATAACAATCGATAAAATATGAAATGTACAAATTGATTATACTACATTAAAATTAAATAAAATTGAAATTTAGTTAGAATTAATGAAAAGACTGATTGTTACTGGTAATATGGGAAAAATTTCTTTAAACTTATCCGAGCAATTGGGGTTGTATAACTCAATTTGTTCATTTTATTGACGACATTCAGAGTTTGAATAAAGCTGAACACAATTTTTTAATACTAAATTGTAGAATTTGATGTTCAATCACTTATAAACATCCGCTCATTTTTTTTTGGGTCATGAAATTATTAGATGTACAATTAGTAGAACAGTTAGCATTAGTACTATTTTATGTACAACTAGAAATTAGTACTGTTAAATTTAGTAATAATTAAAGTGTGTATATTATCATTGTTATTTAATTCAAAACCGGTTAATTTAGAATTAATTCAAAACTGGTTTGTTTAGAATTACCAAAAATTCCAAATTTTCAACTTACCAAACTAATTTTTACTAACTATTTAAATTTGTTGTGAGACTAACAATTCGACGAGATTTTTCAAAATTAAAAAATCCAGCATTATTTGTAAAGAATGGAAGTTGAACTATTTTTAGCATCTTTAAAGCTATTCATTCCAACACTGTAGAAAGCTTTATATAATTCGATGATATTTTCACAATTTTCTACCAGTTCTCATCATAATTTACTTATTTTTTGATTAGAATTTTTTTTCTTGGAATACTCAAAAGGAATGAATTCAAGCACATTGAAATGCTATTGGATAATTGTTTAATCTCGCACGAATTAATCACGTGATTGAAAATGAAAGGAAATTCAAACGAAAGATTTTTGATCATAATTGCTATAAATAGATAAAAATAACCGAAGAAATATTTCGAATGAATTCTGCTGATTATAGAGGAGTAGAAATTAAACTGATCTTTCTAAATATACATAACAGTTATCATTCCAATACTCAACAATTTGATTTTTTCTATTTATCACCTTATACCAAGCAATATTTTCTAAAATAAATTACTACAGTGATGTAATAATAAAGATGGTATAACTTAATGATGAATTTAAAAGTAATAAAATTAAAATAATTTTTTTATTCGTTATTCGTTCTGATTAACATTGATTCTTTCAAATTAAAATTTAGTAATAATAGAAATGACATCAACAATAATGATAACATGAGAATAACTATAAAGAAAAAAAAATTCAAATTCTGAATCTTTTTTATTTAACATAGAAAAGTTTTTTTTTTCTGAATCTTTTTTATTTAACAATTTTTTTCTGAATCTTTTTTATTTAACATAGAAAAGCTTCGAAGATTTTTAAAGAGAAGTTAACAGCCATAATTCAATTTTTTTTTTTTTTGAAAAACGATAAAAAATGGAAGAATAATTTAAAGATGAAAGAAGTAGACGCCGAAATACCGTAAATTTATTTATTTTTGACAAATTCTTATCAAATTATTTTGATAAATAAGAGGTAAATGTACAATATTGCTAGAAGAATAAACAATTTAGATTGAATTGTTTTATTGTTACCAGAGAATGCTAAAAACATGAATAATATAAAGAGAAGTGACATCCATCAAATGTCGGATAGTTGAAATAAAAACAGTTAGAAAAATAAAAATAGCGGTTTCATTACAAACAGTAAACGGAAGAAAATATGTATAAACAAGAGATGCGACTAATGCGTTAGCGGTGGGAATTGTGGTACCCAAATATTGTGATACCACAAATCGGAAAAAGACTCACAGCAGGTGACACATTTTACTTTCTTCTCTCGTCTTTATTAAACTATCCTCGCAAATAAAAGATTGCTACCGATGTTGCGATCCATCCTACGATCATTTTTTTTGTCAACAAATAAAGATTACAAATCAAGAAATCAATGAAATAAACTATGCAAACAACTATTCTCTACAATTTGTTTGGAATATTGATTGATAAAGTCATTCAATTTATATTTAAGTTATTCAAATATCAATGTAAATGCATCTGCAAGAGTAAGTTCAAGTACATCTTTGCTATATCGCAACATCCATTTATTAAATCATAGTCTAACTCTCATTCATAAATTCAAAGATAATATTAATTGCCATATCTTAAAGTTATTAGTTATAGTGAGTGTAATATATGGAGACTAGGCAGATAGTTGATTTAGACTATATTACAAGCATAATTTCTTGCATGCAAAAATTGCTGTTGGGCCTTCTGTTAAGGCTGATCGGTTTGATACATTATGATGGTGAAATTGTTGAAACAATAAAGTCGCACACTTATATTTGCATACGTTTAAAAATAATTAAAAGTATAATGTAGCATGAAAATGTTGCATTTCTAAGATTGAAAACATTCATGCAATAAATCCAAACAATTTCTTTCAAATTACAGTTTTTATTGTAATGATTGAATATCATAAAGGGAAGTGCAGTAATTAAATGCATATGACCCTAAGATGGACGGATGCTTGTTATGGTCATTTGTGTTACACATAGCAATCAATTCTCAATTGACCCATTCATTTTCATGTCTGTACTATATACATCGGCTAATATCATAACCTAAGAGTCTTGCAGCTACTGTTTATTTCATGACTCACCTCATTCTCGGTGTGATTGTCAGTTCCTGAACTCTTTTTACTTTGATTAGACTTTTCCCTCTTTTCTTCATGATTGATTTATTCGTACTCTCCTTTGATCTTTTAGATTGTCACTCGTCTAACCTTCCATTAGTGATCAGATGGAAAACAATTGCAAGCAATCTAATTGGAATATGTTCCGTATTTTAACAGAAGAATTTACAGAAATAGAGAAAATTTAAAATACTATTTTACGATCAATGGAAAATTATAATCATAAATGAATGTGACTTTTCATTTCCGTGAAATTTACGTTATATATGAGATGTGTGATTAATTTTTTGATGTTCTTGTATGGATTATAAAAAATTTAATCTTCGTAGGCTAATCAATCACACTTTTCATTTCTCTTGTTATTTAAACATTTTTAACAACTAATTTTTGGCAACAAACTTTTGATAGATAATAAATTTAGGATTAAAATCTATTGGCGCATTAAATACAATAGATGAATAACGCAATTTGAAAAAATATTTGATTATATTTTAAATCAAATGATTTTGAGACTTTACGGTAATTAAAAAAAAATTTTTTTTAATTCTGTGACATTCTTACACCTGGATTGTAAAAAAAATCTGAAAACGATATTTAATTACATTTTGGATCAACAACTAAAAATTCCAATAACAAGCATTGACTTAGTTGCATGTGCTTCCGGCTAGGCTCTTTCGCTATCGTCTTATGTCCTACTCCTTTTAATAATTAATGATCCCATATCACATGAAAGAATTGATTGCACATTTTGCAAATCATTTCGAAACCGCAGTTAACTGACTGCCCTCATTGTTTTTCAATTCATATTCTCTAAATCTCCATTTCGCAGGAACTATTTCAAAAACCACTTGAGGCCCACCAACTGTACTGTTTCATCATCTTCAAAAGTGCCTTGTTAATGAATGGATCGGAACAACCGATTGCGGTATTTTGCTTTTAACTAGCTTTTAAATGGCTAATTTACATGGTAGAGTGGATACTGTCACCATGAATCTTTCAGCTGTTCTTTCCCTTTCTTCTTCCTTTCAAGAAAGGCCAGAAAATAAATGAATTATGGGCTCAACCATAGATTTGAACGGCTTTGGACCATAAGCATTAGCAGCATTAAACAATAGCTATTAAATAGCGTATTATAATAGATATTCAAAAAAAACGAAGAAAATATTCTTATCAAATTTTAAGGGAAACAAAGGTTGAAGTCTTTTCTTCGAATTAAGGTGGGATAAATGTTTCAAATACTATGAAAATTCAAAATAAATGTTTATGAAATTTTCATCTTGATGACTTTTTCATAGTACTACTTATCATCCTGAGTTATTCAACTATTTCCCATTAATTTATCTGAGGATTCTTTAGATATTTTATTCAAAAACGAAATAATTCGGAGAACTTTCCAATAATGAAATTTAAAATTTTATTCAAATTATGCTTTGACCAAAAAATGCTATTTAAGAACAAAAAATATATTTTTAATTTATTTTATAAATGTCTTTTAATGAGTGTACAGTTTTGCCAAATAAAAAAATCCGAAGCGGCTTTTATTGTGGCTGTTATAGCCTGCGCCTTTGCATGCTATTATTACATTAAAGTCAATCTATTGTTATTACCTTAGTGATTTAATCATTACATTTAACTATCTAAACATTTTCTTGATTTATTTCGTGAAAATTTTGCAAGAATTATAAAAGTTGTATAGAATTTTTGAGCATTAAAATTGAATTTTTTTACAGAGATTTATTCATAAATATTTTTTAAATATCATTTTGTTATTTTACATTTTGACACAGCAATTAAATGTGTGCATGAATTACTTAATTAGTGAGTTATTTGGAGTGAAAATATTTGATTACTGATTATTAAAAAACATCATTATTATTTTTATTTTTGAAGAGGAAAAAAAAATTTGCAGTGGGGAGAAAAAAAAAACAGGACACGAGATACTCCAGGACAGCAACGAAGTCAGGTAAGATGCAGAAAGCTCACACTGCTTAAGGTCGAATGGTCATAGCCACTGTGACATTTGATCATTCAAGACAATTCACATGAGTTTGAGGCATCTTTCATCTATCACTAACTTCTTTGAGAAGGTGAACAGCTCAAACAAATATGCGATCAAATTCCAATTCTCGATCTCCTATTAGTCATCTAGTTATAGCTGCACCTGTTTAGCTAATAACCCGGAATCAATTATATATCTCTACGGCTAGCTGCATTAGCTGAGGCTAAGTTATTTCAGTCGATTCCAGATTCAGAATTATTAACTACATCGAAATCACAAACAACCTCATCTCAGGTTAATGACTCAAAAGCAACCATTGAAGAAGAATTTGAAAAAGAGTTTAAGGGCGAAATACGTTTTGCTGTGGTATCAACTATTAATTTACTTAAGTTTGTAATAACAAATTGGTATACTAACAATTCCTCATCAACCTGAGATGATCAATACATTAACTTTCTCGATGGAAGGACATGAAAAGAGGGAAGGTGGAAATATATATTTGATATTTTACTTAGTTACACAATTAAACAAACATCATAATAACTTAGAAATATATTTCAAATGATGCTTGTTCGTGAATAGATTTTGAAATTGATTATTTAATTGATTGAACAAATTATCCAAGGCGATAAATTGCTAAGGAACAAGTTGAATAATGACGAAATTCAAATAATATTTTGCATTTTTCAAATGTGAAAATAATCGACCTTATAGAAATATAGATGAAGTCCAACAATTTCAAAAATGAAAATGAGAAAATTCGAATTTTCAGCCAGTAAAAAAGAAGAAAAAATCGAAGAAAAAGAAAAAGAAGAAAAAAACTTCGAAGCTTTCCACTGGAGAGGTTTTAAAGCTTATTTAGCTATTGCATGAAAATTTTTATGTCAATAATGAAATAATTCAATTATAATCTTTTGGATTTTGTAATCTTCGACCCGGCCATTTCATAAGTTTTCAAACTTTAAAAAGAGAGGTGTAAATTAGAAAGGAAAACATAATTGATTTTTCGACTAATTTTCAATTGAATTACTTTTTTTTATGGCACTTATTAATTATATTTTGGCTAATTGATGTTATCAATGTCATAATAAAAATAATAATTTCTAATTATTGGCATCAACTAAGAATGATTCTTTACTTTCCAATTCTTTGAAAAATGAAAATAATCTTGTACAAACAATGTTACTGAAAATCTTGTCGCAGAGTTTTAAAATCACAGATAACATACTTTTCATTTCTATTGTATTTTTCAGTCTTTAGACTAATTTTTTTTTACTTTTGAAATTCCTGATCAATAAATTTACTACTCACAAAAAAAATGAATAAATATTAATTTCTATTTCTTGGAACAGGTTGCTTTGGCATTTACAACTACTGATTGGAAAATTTGTAATTCGTTTTGTTTCAAATTGAATTAAATTATTTAGTTAATTTAAGATAAGTAATGAATCGTCACCTGCAAAATTGGCCACTGCTTTACCTAACGAACAAATGACAGGGGCAACGACACCAACGAATGATATCGAGAAAGTTGTATGACTTAAATTATTTAAATCTAATTGATTCAAACTTATGTTTTTCTTATCATTTCAAATTTCTTTTACTAAAAGATTGAACACATTATGAGCACATCTCAACCTAATTCACTTCAGTCTTTTTCAGCAGGTTAATCCAGAAAATGATGCTAAGACAGCAGTGTTAGTCATTGCCTCGTTCGTTTTAAAATTTTTTTCTGAAAAATTATCAAAGCTTTAAAGTTAATCATATTTCAAGTACAAATTGGCAACATTAATAACAGTAATTTAGAAGTTCATTATAAGAGAATCAATCACAAATTCCTAATTTAGAGCAAATTCATTCTTGAATTTCAGAGCACCATCGGCAGGGTATGATGACGAGGAAAAAAAGAAATCAAAAAAAAGAAAGGACCAACGAAAGGACAAGAAAGGTTCGTCCTATTTGCTGTAAAAATCAAATGCTTTCTACCGTAAATTTTATGTATAAATTAATTTAGGAACGGTTTCAAAAAATACAAAATTTTTTGCAGCTTTTTTTTAAATCGTTGCTAGATGACATTAAAATATTCGAATTATTAGAAATGGAATTTAAATCGAAGAAATGAGAAGTCAGAGTGCTGAAGGTTGGTAGAACAAGAAATCTCATTTCATTGATAGATTTCAATAAGTTTTACATCAGTTTTGTAATTTATATTTATATTCCCGTACTGATTAACTGATAAAATTCCTCCATGAATGATTAACAAAATACGCTTTTCAATCTAAACAATGCAAGTTATTCAAATATTAAGTAACTCCGAAATCTTGCCAATTTGTGATTTTCGATTTTATCCAATACATTGACTGAAAAATAAATTAAATTTGCAATGAAATGAACGAAATTGATTATTAACATTGCATGCAAAAATTGTAATTTTCATGTAAAAGTCATTTGTGATTTTCATGCGATTTAAAAATCTCCAAATATATCGGTAATTGATTTGTTGGCCGTTTGTTTGTTCATCATTATTGCAATATCATAAGAAGAGGTTTTGTTCATTGCCAACAATAATCCATGTTTGATTTATCAGAAATTAACGGATTAAAATTGAAACATTGTAGAAATAAAAAATTACTGCAAAGTAATCGGGTAATTTCTGTGATTGTATAATTTAATCAAAAGAAAAAAAAACAATTTGGAGGAAACAAAATTCATCAAATCTATTGAATTCCACTGGAAGAAATTGTTTTTTTGATCTCCAACTAATGAATTTCCACGAGTAAAGAAATTATTTAAGTTCTATCTTTTTTCTTTACCAGTTATACAAAGATCATTTGGTCATTTTAAAGCATCCTTTGATTTTTCCTGAACTATATTAAAATTTACACGCAGCAAAATTTTCAGCATTTAAAAAAGTTAACATATTTAGATAATAAAATTAAAAAATTAAAAAATCCTAATCCTAGCCATATTTTAATTACATAAATTAACATAAGGAACCAATCAATGTTTTTGCATAAAAAATAAAAAAATTTTATAAATTTTCAGAACTGCCGTTTGATTTTTTTTATTTAAAAGGAGTTCATAAAAACTATTTCTTCTGAATTTCCCTTCACTTTCATTTCTAACTTGTAGCAGGTGGTCGGTCATAATCGGTTGCTTCAAGTTTTATATTGTTTTGAGGTGATTTTAAGGAATCTCACTGAATTAGTGGTATTGTTTGTCAAATTTCAAAAATGTGTCGAAGAGGATTTAGAATTTGGATTTTTGTAGCAGTGTTACTACTGCCTGCTGTCGTTACAAGAACAGAAGGAGAAATAAAAGTTTCCGCACTAAGTAAAACTCAGGTCGACGACTTCGCTAATAGTACGAACACTGTCAACAAGACGAGATATAATTCTAAAATACAAAATACCGAGATCGAAAAAACAAATGCAACAGAGGTCATCGGTATAGAAGTGGATGATAGAAAAGAGATGGACAAAGCAACGGATGTGACGAGCATTAAAGAAGCTGAGTCGACAGTTTCTAATGACTACGATGATTTGTTCACATTAAAAAATCTTGGACGTAAAATTCCGATGAAATCAGCAGTTCATACATTAAATAAAGATGTGCTGAAAAAAGATGTTGCTGAAGAAACATTGGAAAACTTCCGAAAGAAAATGGACGTAAGAAAAGAGTATCTGAAATTACAATCAACAAAAAAGTAATACCATAAAACATTTTTAATCCTCTTTCTTTTAATTCATTCTGATCAGAAATGATCAATCAATCAGTGCATTGATGTGGTACAAAATCATTTGTTTCCATTATCATCTCCAATGTATATTTATGTAGTAATAATAATAAATCATTTTTTGTTCATCTCCAATAACATTGATATAAAGATACCAAAACTTTCTTTTTTGAAAAATTTTGAAAATTTTCTGTTTTCAGTAGAGCATTAAAGTGCATAATTTCAAATTTCAGATATTCTGTTTTCTGACAAGTTTTTAAGTTTTTTTTTTTTTCAAAAGAACTAAGAAGCTTATGGTACACAATGAATTGTGAATCTATAGTATGCAATGAACTGTCCGAAAAATTGAAACTGCCAAAATTGATTTAGCATTTTATTTGCCAAAACGAAAGTGACTATAACTAAAAGGAATTAAAAACTTGTAATGAATTATCGCAACGCTTTCTGCTGTTGTAATCAGCCTGCACTCGTTGAATAAATAATATTAAAAGACGTTGTGACAATGAATTCAATTGATAATTTGATTTTTATCATTCAGTATTTATCTCTTCGATTTGTGTGATATCGTTTTTTTCTTTTTGCTTTACTAAAATTAGCACGAAAGGTTTATAAATTTTGAATTTAACTTTTGCAACTTCTAGAATATTATCAAAAACTGTTTGATTTGTTAGTTTAAAATCACCACTAATTAAATTCATTTGGATATGCGCGGAAGGACAACAAATTACAATTCATGAAGTTCCTAATTTTAGAATTTACAAATTTATGATCAATTATGAAGTAGATCAGTTTAGAAATCTTTATAAAAATTTATGAATTAAATTAATTTCTAAACAATTTACTTGCTTCTTAAAATTTTCAAGTTTTCTCAAATTAAGAGAACTTCTTACTTATTTCAAAAACCTTATGTTTTTATCAATTGAGTTGCTTTAAAAGATATGAATATGTCGCAATTGAATGCAATTATATCAACAAAATTCGTTCGAAAATATTCAAAACTAATAATTTAGTTAAAAAAAGAAATTTTCAACATCGATTTTTCATTCAATTAGAAATGCGTTTTCTCAGTTTAACTATAAATGATAGTTTCAAAAAAAGTACTATCTCATTCAAATCTCTTGAGAAATTGAACTTCAACAAAAGTTTGATTTAAATCACATGGAAAATTTAAGCATTCACAGTGGAACTGTTTTTTAGCAATATGAAAATAACCCTTTCTAATGCACCATGAACCATCTTTCACAACTTCTAAACGTTTCAATTTCTTATTAATAATCCGACCTTAATTTTGTTCGATGAAAATTTTTATACTTTTGAATGCAAATTAAAATATGATTCATATATTATCAGAAGTAAAGATTTCTACATATAGGTTTGTCACAATATATCAATATCAAATATTTGTAATAAAGAACTAAAACAGCGAATTTTCTTCTTTATACAATAATTATACTGTCACATCCGGTAGGGTACTTTTTTGTACGCTCACTTGACTTACATTGGTTAGATCATCCATTTGGCTTACTAAAATAAAATCAGTGAAAAATTATTCAAATACCCTTTAGCTGTGAAACAATGTAATTAATTTAAATAATCAACAATATTACTCACGTATAGTTTACTTCTTACAGTAAGTATTAAAAACAAATATTAACCTCCTTTCGTTGTTGATTCACCTTTGTCTCCTTTACTTTTACTTCTTCTTTTTATGAACTGAAATAATACAACAATTTTGTGATGTTAAAATATAAAAAAGTTAAAAATTGCTATAACAACTTTAATAATTTCTAATTTTGGATTATTAAACTAACCGGTTTTGGATTTCGCCGTAATGCCCACATAAAATGATCGGAATACATTATCAAATAAGCGATCAAAAATACAACGATCATTGCTGTAATAGCAAAACTACCAACTAAATACCAGAAATAACTGGGACAGGCACCTTCCTCCTCGCTTTCTAGGAATTCCTTATCGGACATTTCTTCGAGAGTTGTCAGTGATGAAAATTTTGGGAAATATCAAACAACCAGCAAATGATTAATTGTCGTTATGAAACAGTTTTTAAATTATTTTACAGCTAATTCATAAAATGCAAATTTACAGCATAAATTTTTTTTATATTTTATACATAATTTAATATTCGATATTTTTGCAATACTATTTAAGGTAATCGTTTCCTAGCAAAGGCAATAAATTTTTTCATTTTTGACTAATTTCTCGAAATCTGCAACTAAAATTTGTTGGAATCTAATTTTTGAATTCAGTTTATTAGTTTTGGGCAACGATACTTCCAATTATTACATTAGTTTTAAACGAATTTTGATGTGAATTGAAATTATTAATTAATTTCAATCTAAAACTTTTGTCCTGCACATAGCAAAATTTTTTTTAGTGAGAAAATTTTAGCGATAGGATAATTTTCTTTGGCTTGCATGAAACAAACTTAGCAAATATTGAAGTAGGTGGTTGTTTTATGAGCTGAAAAAAATACATTCATCTATCAGATTCTGGCAATTCTGTACTGAAATTGATAGTTACAGTAAAATTTTCAAACAGTTTGAAAAGAAATATTATAAATGCGCTTAGTTGAAATGAAAAAAAAATTTGAAATTTCAATTTTAGATATTATTACCAATCGCTTCCAGTAGCTATTATGATCAGATCATCATAAAAATAAATTACTTTTTAGAAGATCTGGGACTTTTAGCATCAAACTTGCCGGAAATTTTGCTTCATATCAAATATTTGATGACGAAAAAATAAAAAAAGTAGTAGGAAAAAAGTTATAAACACTCCGGAAGATTGCTTTATACAGGACAAATTGAAGTAAAAACGAATGGAATAATTTTTACAATAATTTTACTCTCCCACAATGTAATTAGCCATATAGTAATAATTAACTGATATACAAATATAAATAATAATAAATTCGTTTTGAAATTTCTGCCAAAAAATGATTTTATTATTCGTAAAAATTATTTTAAATGCAAATAGTAATATTTGTAGAATGAAAATCACGGAACGTCTAATGGAATTTTCATCTGTTTATCTTTCAAATGTTTTCGCTTCTTCCCTTTCATTTGCAATTTATCTGGAAAACAAAATTTTCATTTTTTTAACATTAATTTCCTCAGAACTCGTTCAACTTTTAAAAATCGATTAATTTATTAGTTTTGTAATAATTAATAAAAATTATTATTGAAATTATTGTCATTTTCTGTCCTATGAAGACCGCGTGCCTTTCTCATTCTTTCCGATCGTCTCTTCCATAGCTCTTCAATTAAATTTAAAATTCATTACTTTAAAGAATTAGTTCTGAGTTTAGATCTACTGCATGGAAAATATTGTCATTTTTGTTGCATTACATAAATTGCCAAATACAAAATAAAAGACAAAGAATTAAAAAACTTTTACTTGACAGTCTTCCATGTGAATATGGCGATGCTTCAACCAATTGGTGGCTTAGTTTTGACCTTCAATGGAATACTTTTATGATGATTAAAATTGTAAAATAATGATAAATTTTAGAAAAAAAGATTGACACAGCATCTGATCAGTTATCTGAAAAATGAAAGTGAATCTAACAGTATTGATAAATATGAAATTAAATACCAACTCTGAATTTTTCTTCTCATTTTCTTCTTTTCTATCTTTCTTCTGAAATTTTCATTAATTCATATGAATTCCTACTAATTATTAATTCATTAAGCAATCAACTGTCAACTCATTCTTTCCCCTCTCATATAAATTGTACCATTTAATTTCCTGAATTCATTGTTTGAAATCCTACTTGCTGTCAAAATAAATTCTTCCTCATTCCAATTTCATTCTCACTACGTGTTCACTCTTGACTACTATTTTTTAGGACTAATTTAGTTACCATTGCATTGCCCTTTTTTGAGCTCCGTTTTGCGCCACTATCACAGTCCAATTCATCGGATAATTCTTTTTTACGAGCTTTTTTCCCTTAAAAATGCAAACATATAAATAGATGAACAATCATAAAAAAAATTTACAAAAAAATTTGAATTAAACGCATATTAAGTAAAATATGGCAATATATCGAAATAAAACTTTAAACACAGACTTGGTTTAGAGGATGAAATGTCACGATGATGCATACGTCTGCAAATAAAATAAAAGTTGAAGTTAGTTTAATCGAAAATTTTCTTTGTTATCTTTAACTTCCAAAATAGGAAAATTATCAATTTTTCAGAGTACAGTAAATAGAACTGTTACAAAGTTTCGAAGAACACAGTTTTGAAATAAAAATAGAAATTTGAAAACTTCACTTTCTTGATTTCTTTTCTGCGGTAGATGTCTGAAAGTCAATAAAGAATATATTATGATCAAGAATCATGACAAATTTCTTATCAAAAGATTGATTAAAAATTTATTATAATTCTTTTTTTATTCTAAATTTTATAATCTATTTTCTATAAATAAGAAAGGATAGAAAAAAAATGTTGAAAAAACAAACTTGCTGATCACAATGAAAATCCAACTTTGACCCTAATTTCGGCCTTGTTTCTTGCTCTTTTTTAAAATCTGCAATTTTCATTGCTTAATTTGTACTAATTCTAATTGGAACGTTTATATGAATTTCTTATTTCATTATGGAATTTTAATCAACATTAAACGAATGGTAGGAAAGCGTCTCATAAAACCCGAAATTTGTACCATTACAAATATCTATATTCAAAGTTATTGCAATGAATAGCAAAGTAATTGCAAATAAATAAATTACAATTATTGAACTGAAAATATTAAAAAAATTAGTAATTAGTCAAATGATAATAAGTCAGAAATGCTACATTAGTTAGTGATGTAATCACCTTAGTGATCTTATAAAAGGATTGAGATGGATAAGTGCAAGTGACACCTACCACCCTCATCGAATTTTGTTTTACCACGTGACACCAAACGGATAAACGTCCGTGATGTTCGGTGAATTTCATCTTCTTTGAATTCACCATATAAAGCTATATATCGTAATAATTGAGCGATATCATTCGCCGAACATTCAATAGATGTAATCATCTGTGAATACTCAATAAACTTAAAATTCGTAATGAAATAATATTTTCTCAAGAGAGATCTTAATTTTTGGATTCGATAACTTTTAAATTCTTTCCTTCTTACTACCTGGGCAGATAACAGTTGTTGAGTGATCTTCTGTTCCGGGGTTATAATATACGGCGAATGAACTGAAAATGATTTATCCAATTAAAATTTACTTATAACAATCAATTTTCTGTAAACATTAACGCAAAAATGTCTCCGTTGCAAGCATATGTTAAAATTTTCCATTTTGCTTAAACAGGAAATTTGTTTTTAATTTTATATAGCTTTTCTCACCTTTGTCGATTTTCATATTTGCTTTATTAGCCGTAAAGTGTTCATCGCTTTTTTCTTTGTAATGAATGTATACGGCGATTAACAAAAATATACACAGGAAGACGAGTGAACTTATGAATCCCATTAACATTAGCACTAACTTTGTCGCAATCTCATTTGGAATACCTGGAAATGATTGTCAAGCAATCCTAAAGTAATCAATCATAATATTCAAAAGAATAATAAGTAGATATTGCCATATTCTTTACAGATAATTCTTAAATCATGGAGAATTAATCACGATACTGAATGATGATTAACTTATGGAATGAAAATAAACAAATTTAGACAACCTGTATAGATAGCACTACGTTCATAGACATTAGAATATTTATCAATGCTGAAATTTTCGATTAAATAAATTTAAAAACGAGAAAACTCACTTTTCAATAGCATAAAAATTTAGCAGTTATGGAGAAAATTGTTATCGACATTTTGAGTTAATAAAATTAAACAAAATTTTGAAACTATAAATTATTACCAATGTTTCTTATAAAACTAATAATTCAATAAATTTTTCATAGCTTAAGTGAAAAAAACTCGCCCAAATTTCATTTAATTTTCCAGATATGATTGCATTATTTGCATAAGGAATTATTCTTTAGGGATAAGGAAAAGCATCCATTTGTAAGATCATTTTACTTTGCGATAATAATTTTATAGAATGATTAAAATTATCAAACAAATTAAATAACTTCCTATTTTAAAATAATAGCGGTCTGAAATCACATTAAACTAATTAAACAACCACTGAATTAAATTAATTATGCTGATAATTAACTAAAAGCCGTTGTTTAATAAACAAAATAATGAATTAAAACAATTAGTTAATTAATTCAATCATCTAATACTGCTACAATTACATTAAACTTACGTTCGCTTTGTTATGAAATAGTCACTGACGTTCTTTTGCCCTAAAACAGTAAATTGTCGTTAATTAGTATGCTGTCAAACTTCATTTTAAATGATAATTATAAGCAAAATTTCATAAAAGTTTCAAATTTGAAAGCGTATTTTTAACAAGAACAGATGAGATATCATCAAAAATACATTACCAGAGGTGAAATTTTTGAACCAGGTAATATGTCGAATTTTTTCTATTCCATTTTTTCTTGCTGAAACATGGAAATGTTTCCAGTAATATTATCAACTCTTTTCCTTTAAGCAATGCCTATCAAGTCATTTATAGGCACTGCTTAAATCGAATAGATCGGAATATTTTGCATAAGGGTGAAATTATTTTCAACCATCATTTCGATAAAGGTTACAAGCAGCAATTTTTTCCAGAAAAATATTTTAATAACATAAATTAATCTAATGAGCTAAAATTTCTTCATCGCATTATTTCTTCATGGTATTAACGATTAATATATTATGATATAGTTTATAGATATACAACTCTTTATACCTTGGGAAGAATTTTGGAACGTTTGACTACTTACTGATGGCATTAGAAAGACCTAACCGCTTCTTTAAATGAAATTTAGAAACAAAACTTAAATTATAATTTTTTTGTCAAAAAAATAAATGCTTTAGGAAAAATCAAAAAATTTGCATAGTTTTTGCAACTGTTTTTTTGCTTCCAAAATATCACTAAATTTAAATGAGCAATTCAAAAAAAAATAATGAAAAAAAAAGATTTAATGCTTTGTGGATTATAATAATATGATATAATTAAAAATAATATCTAAATTTTCTGTTTAAATGACAATGTAAAGCTATAAAATAGAACACTTCCAAATCATTTGTGATAAAAAAAGTTTTAGTATTCATTTATGCAATTTTACAACACTTTTCTCTATGTTATCTAATATGATAACCAAGGTAATGTTAAAAATTTGTTTTCAATCTTTATTTATCAATGGTTATTTCTTCGAACTTTCGTACGTATCCCTAATTACTGAAAGAGTGTTGATGAACTGAATAAATTCATCAAATATAATAACTCTTCAAAATTTTTATAACAACTCTTCAAATTCCACAAGAAAATTTTTTCGTATGTATTTTTCTGTTTAACATTTTTTTTTTCAATTTCTACTTACCGCTATCAATTGATATTTACTGCTTGAAGATCCGTGATGAAAGGTAATAGTCAGGATGATGTGGAGCAAAAAAATGAAAAATATTCATAAGGAAGAGAAAATCCGTTCGTTCTTTTTGAAATACATTGGAATTACATGGAAAGTTTATTCAAAAAGAAACCAAATCTCAGGATTCAGAATCTTATGAATTTGATTTCTGAATAAGCATGAAAATTTTCACAAAAGTTTATTTAATAGGATATTTTGCCAAAACTTTCTCTGTTTATGCATTTGCAATTCTCGCAACATACAAATATCCGTTGATTAAAGTAAAATTTATTGTATAGTGAAAAAACTTCATATAATTTTAACTTTTTTCATTTTAAATTGAAATATTTCATATTTATAATTCTTTGATCATTATCATCAACTTTTTAATCTCCTTGAATTATCAAACATTTGGCTTGTCACATTTTCATCAGTTTGATCCATTTTTCATAACCCTGAAATTTCATTAATTTTTTATTTGTTCTGTGGAGGAAACAACGACACAACCAAAAAAAACCCTGTAATATTTATTATTTTCCAGAAAAAATTTGCTTATTTTTTTGATGTTTCTTAGACACACTGTGCTGAAATCTGCATTGTTTTATTTAGAATTAAAAGATGGTCTAAAAATTTTCGAAGAGTTATGAAATTGTAAAGGAGTGAGTTTTTGAGTAAGAAATCTTCTTAGAAAATGACAGAAAAAGAGAATCGCCTTCCAACCACATTCATCCGAGCTTTACTCGTTGGAAAATGAAAGGAAATGAATAAAATAGTAACCGAAAAAGGATTCCGAATCTTATCAAATTTTTCCCAAAATCCAGTTTCTTTTCTTCAAAAGACGAAAAATTCATTTGATTAATTGTTATCAGTGACAATCCTGTAAAGAGATTATGCAAATTTCACATCCAAAAGAGTAATGGCCAAAAAATAAATATTGTTTTATCGAAAAATAAAAACAGCAACACATTACAAAATACCCTTTCCATCAGCATAAGAAAGTGTTTTATTACAGTAAATTAAATTAGACAATCGATTGTGGAAAAGGCCAATTGACCATCAATCTTTCCTTTTGCCCTTCTCTTCACTGATAAAACAACATTTACAGTAAAAGCGGGGTCAAATTGCTGTGAAAAAAATTGATTCCAAAGGCTTCAACTCTTCCATCAACAAAATTATAACAAAAAAATTTTTGATGTTTTTTTCAACTGAAAAGAATAGTCAATTCATAACTAATCTTTCGAATTTTACACAATTTGGAAATCTGTTAATCAAAAATTCCAATAATATTTACCGAATCTTTTGAGGCTTTTTTAGATTGGTTTCATGAATTCTTCATATGAATATAATTTTTTAAAAAAAATAAACAGATGGTTGAATCATTCACTTTTCTTTAGAAGTTAAAAATGACTGATAAGCAGGAATTTGGGAAATTCCAGTTTAATTGAATAATACTAAATTTCAGTAGTTTGTAATAAAATTATGATAAAAAAGAAAAGGATGTACGTAGCGGTTGATAGTACTTCAATGAACTGAATAAAGAGATATGGAAAGGATGAAGAGTTGAGGGATGAAAATTTTATGAAAAGGTGATGGAGAGATTCGTGCTTTTAATAAAAGTGGTCACAGCATCTTCAAATATTTCATGGTAATAGTGAAATTAACAGGTTGAAATGTTTGTATATCGTTAAGATTGAAATAAAGCGATAAAGAGTGATTCCCGATGGACTCCAAACAAATCGGAGTTTGTTTCTGAAGTGGTATTCTTCCTGAAGAATGCTCGGACAATTTTAATTGATTAAAAATTTTTTTTAAAGGATTTCACTGCAATTTTTTTTTGTCTCTTTTTTTGCTTTCTTACGACTACATCAACATATAATTATGGAAAATTATTATCTATGTTAAAGTCATATTATATTAAATTCAAATTCAGGTAGCAATCTGCACTTTTTGACATATTTACTCAATAATTCAATTCTTGCCAGTTGAATTGCATTGGTTAAATCAATAATTTATTTTCAACCGAATCATGAGTGCTAAATCAATAATCTGTTATTAAACAAAATTTTAAGTTTAATGATCTAAATTTATTTTATTTATTAAACGATAACAATAACACATTAATTTGTTTGTCTATTTACTCATTTAATATTTGTTCAAAATTTGCGTTGCTGGATATTTACTGCACCGTTTCAATTATGAAAGTATTAACAACAAGCAAATTTTTTATGCAAGTTTTCAGGAAATATCAACATGCACTTGAATTTTCTCCTGCTGGTGATTTTAGCAGTAAGTTATTTGAATGATACAGCTAATGCTCTATGAAGAAATAAAGGTGTAAAATTTATTTCTCTTGCTTAAATTGCAGATTCTGAATAATAGTTGTATCAGCATAACTTACCCAAATGTGATTCTCGAAAAACCAATTGTTACATGTGAACCAGAAAGAATTCTTATTCAGGTATCTTATTTTAATTTTAGGAAATAAGCTTATAATTTTGTCATTTAACATGTATGAACCTATATCATAACGATAACTAATCCGTTCATTCAGATAATTTGCTGTCTTATGCGTGG